CGTGAAACAAAATCAAGAAATCCGCAATTCGTATAGGGGAAATTCTCCACTCTTCTAAAACACGTTACACTGAGAGGAACTCAATGGCGGGATTAATTATGATACTCAACCAGTACTTTTGTAGATAAGTACTTCAGACCAAATTCCTTACTAAAAATTACTTATACCAAAAGTTACTTGGACAAAATGTTACTTACTCCTTTCTTAAAGTTAGTTAAACCAATTCTGTAGTTTTAGACCAATTTACTTACTAAAAGTTACTTAGACCAAATGTTACTTAGACCAAATGTTACTTAGACCAAAAGTTACTTAGACGAAATGTTACTTAGACCAAAAGTTACTTAGACCAAATGTTACTTAGACCAAATGTTACTAGACCAAATGTTACTAGACCAAATGTTATTAGACGAAAGTGTACTAGACAAAATGTTACTGAGCCGTTTGTTCAGTTTGTCCAGTTTGTCCAATTTGTCCAGTTTGTCCGGAGAGTTACCTGACTTTTTGTGATCATCCTGATTTTTCTGAAGTAAGAGAGTACAATTAGCTTTCCTATAAACAGGTATTAATATTAACTGAAGCTGCCACTACACTTCTACTTTAAAGAGAAGTAATTTCATTTATTTAGAGTTGTATAGTTGATTCACAACAGTATCTTATTCACCTTGGCCTCAGTAAAAATGACCGAGCTATTCTAGTTTTTCCACCTGTAAAACAAAAATGATGATCTTCAATTGGGGTTTGCTTATATAAGTAATGGCGGGTCCATGCACCTGAGTCAATTAATAAAATTCATATCTTTTCAAGGCAGAAAAATGTGATATCTCTCTTATTCTGATATGGTACCGTTGTGAATCAGATGAGTAACTCTTTTACCGGATGGTAACTTAAAATTTCATTAACAGACCCTTTAACTTCTATACTTTGATTGGCAGTTGATAATATTATGATGCCTTAATTGTTTTGAATTTTGTTTCTGCTTCGGTAGAAGAAAGATGTCCTCCTGGAGCCAAACAATAAAGTAATGGGTTAAAACTTATTAATTCTCGGAACATTTTTAGCCCCTTCAACAAGTAATCTAGTTTTTACAGAACCAGAGAGAACTATATTTTCTAGATACGTAACCCCAAAAAGGATCTATATGTCACACACCCCCCCCCACCCCTTGAAAAAGGTATGAAAAATAAAGGTATGAAGTTGCTATTCATTGCTGTTCAAAATTCATACCCATAATATTACATGCCAGCTCATTTAAGAAAATTGGACTGCTAACTTTCAAATCAAATCATTCTTTTTGGGACGTCCTACAGTCTACACCCACACCCCAAAATTGAAGTGACTATACTAAAACTCAAAAGTTTTGTCTTGGTCAATAATAACATGTGACACGTGTTTAAGTCTCCATTTTTCAAGGGCTTTTAAAAAAGTTTCTGAAGCTTAAACAAGAATTTATGGGCTGAGCTATTTATAAAATGCCATATTGAAATTCATTCTTAATTTCTTAAACAATACTTCTCCCTTAATTTATTTATCTACTGAATTACTGGACGATATTTGGGTTTGGTTAATTTAAAAAATTTAAACTACTCTGACACAAAAATTTTCTACCACATTTTTCTTTCCAATCCATTATTTAGAATTCCTTGTGACACAACAGTTTCATCACCAATCTCGAGAATTTACTGAAAACAACATTATTTGATCATTAAAATCTTTAGTACTGTGCCCGTGGATTTTTCATTTACATTTTCGCAGATTTGCTAAAACTAAAATTTTTCTAGTTGATGTTGCATGAAAAACGCAATGTAGGAAAATACCTTTTTTGTTTGTTTTTGATTCCTGGTGTCCACAATTTAAGATGTGATTTATGCAAAATATCAATCAGTAAGCTATTCATTTCGTTACTTGTATTTTTTTTAGTTTTACCTGATAAAAGTTATGAACTTTCTTCCTCCTGGTGACTAAAAATATCAATGAAAAATTAAAAAATTATCAGGTTATGCAATATTTATAGTAAATGTTTATATTTGTTACAACTCACAGGAGTATAAATATTTTTTCTTATCAATACTTTGCTTGTCTGTTGGTTTATTTCTTATCAATACTTTGCTTGTCTGTTGGTTTATTTCTTATCAATACTTTGCTTGTCTGTTTTATTTGCTTGTATCCAAAAAACGTCAAAAGGGCAGAACCGTTACGTTCAAAATTTGTTTAAGGAACCTCACATGACCCGGGGAAGATTTATTTTTTGTTATCTGGGCTACAGATGTAAAACTTGCTTATTTGATAAGCCCATGAAATATGCCGCATGTTGATTTTTGTAATTTCATCTCTAAGGGCAAAAACAACCCAATTGGGATAGTTTTAAGGATTTTCATCATTTCACCGTTTCATAATTCAGTGTTATAATGCAGATTTTTTTTCGCTAAATGTATCTAAATTATTTTTAATTTTTATTATCGATTCCTTTCAGATGCCTGCAAGAAGAATCTGCACATTAAATTTTAAAAGCGGCACCTGTTTCTTGTCTAGAGGAGGCCAGCAGTCTCTAAACTCAGATTTACTCCTCTCAAGGTTTAATAGAGATAATAGGAAGTGGGTCACCTAGATATAGAGAGATTATCAACAGTCTAACCCTTTAAATGCACAGAAACATACTCAATTCACTCTTACTCTGAAAATTCGAAACAAAAACATACTTTTGTCACTCTTCATGCAGTCTTTCTCCGAAAATATGAAAGCATTCTAAAAATTGGTTTTTTTTTAAATTCATTCTTAAGCCAATATAAATATTTATTGGCATTTATTTGCTTAAGATTTAAACTAAAGTTTGTTTAATTTCTTAATTTCTCTCAGTAATTTAGTAAATGTATTTTAGTACTATATTCATTTGGTATCAGAAAATATGAAATGTATGTATGTTTAAATTCTGTTTGTCATTCTTGCAGTGATAAACACTGAACTAAAACTTTAAGCTGCAAAAAACATATCTTTGCGAAAGAAGGCTATCAGAGCGGTTAGTAATAGTACTTTCGAGGCACATTTAAATCCATTAATTTCAGAACTGAAAGTTCTTAGTGCCAAACACTCAAAACAACCTACCCTGGTTAGGCGGGTTCAATCTGCATAGTAAATTGTGATTGTTTATTCGTAATATCTCATGCTTTGTAGTTGAATAAAAACATGGACATAATAAAAATATGAAATATGAACCAGAAAACTCTGAATTAGGAAGACGGCTTTTTGGCAATTCTGAAGTGCATTTGATATAATTACAAAGTCAATAGTTTTACTAAATACTTATTAAATCATTAAGTGAAATGGATCAATTAACACTGCACAATTGCTGTGTCCCGTACTGATTGGTCTTGAGTCTAAAAGTCGTCTTCCTATTTCTGGTTATCAATGTAAATTCTTACAGTAAGACTGAACATTATTAGTGCAACATAATATGCATCACCACAAAATATATTTCTAATTTTCACCTGTTGAAATCCTTTCGGATTTGAATACTCAAACATATCTGGTTTCAGAGTAATCTCCTTTTCTTCAAACCCTGGATTGCATTTATAATTTAAGTTTAGGTTATAGTGTATAGAGTGATGATGTACGCTAATCCCAAGGCTAAATTTAACGTTGACAAAAACAATTAAATGAATAATTTTTACCTAATAACTTCAAGTTCGTGTAGAAAATGGTTTCATCTCCAGAATTACCAGCACGAAGAGATGACATGTTGTGATCGATCTGAAATATAAAAAATCAAATTCTAGAAAAAATATTGTATTTCATCTGAAATTTTAATTATAATTAGAATTACATAGTATTTATTTGTAAATAATGAATGTCCAAGCTCATCAGTTTTTAAAATCGTTAAATAGTAATAGCTACCGACCAGCTTTTAAAAAATTATTTATTGGCGGGTTTGTTTTCATTTATAAAGTGCGCTGAATACCGCGGTTTTATCTTAAAATTTTGCGAAGTCGTCTTTGATGGCCGTAACAGCAAAATTATTTACTTATTAGTAAAGAAAAAGTTTTACAAGTCGAGAGCAAAAATTCAATTCTGTGAATTAAATTGAATTAAAAAGTTACTAAAATTTCATTGGAAACAAAGCCAGAATTAAGAAAAACATAAGGCAAGGGAAAATATTAAAAGTTATGATGAATCTTTGAAACTTTCAGTGATAATAAATTTCACAAATTTAATTAAATCTTTTACTAAGTTGTTTTTTATTTTATGATGATTTTAATATAATTTTGAATGTTTTTCTGACATTTAAATTAAATGTTGTATCAACCCCTTTCATCATAGCCTACTTTTCCATGCTACGTCAACCGTCCTACCTACCTCCAATCAGCTGACTAAAATTAACTAAAAAATGTCTATATAGGTCTAACGAACAATAGCCTGCTAGACCTTAAGATATTTGAAATTTACCACGGCAAATACTTTGTAACTTTGTTACTACATTTAATAAAATGTTTAATTAATTGTAAAAGGTTAAATTCTTTTAGGAACTTTTTATGTTGTCTTGCAAGTTTAAAATGAAGTTTTAAGTTGTTTATCATTCATGATCATCTATATTTTGCTCTATTTTAACGAAGTAATATTAAGTTGTGGTTTTGACGCATTATAGTTCAGATAACATGACAGCATTGCCTTGAAAAACAGGGCTTTCTAGAATCAGGTCAAAAAAAATAAAATAAAATTATTTTTTTTTTAACAATTATTTTTGAAATAAAAAGTTTTTTCTTTAAAATAAATAATGAAAAGATTTAACCCCTGTTATTCACACGAGAATCCGCGCTCTCAAACTTTTTATTTGACACGCATGCGCTTCACTTCAATACTGTATTTAACATTAAACTTTTCAGTCTTTCAAAATTTTAAATATCGTATATTAAGTTAATTAAATTTAATTAAAATGACTGTGGGTGGCAGAGTTGGTGCATTATGGATCGGGGGCTTAGAGCCGTATATGGATGAGAACTTTTTACAGGTCGGATTATGTTTAAATCGACGATTAACTTTCTCCACGTTTAGTTCCAGGAGTTCCTGTGCTTCTTGGTTTCAACTTCATTCAAAAATTGAACTTTAAAACTCGTATTATCAGATGATGAGATCATATCAAAGAATTTAATTCTTGTGAACTTATTTCTTATCCTAAATAATCATTCTCTGATCGGAAATGATGAGAATGTGGTCCAATAATCGTTATATATGTCGGACCCATTCTTAAATCTTAGAAGATTGCAGATATTCTGAAGAATTTAGAATAAGTGTCAATTTGACTCTAAACCGTCAGGATGAAGCTCAAACGTATCTTAACGATCAGATGTAGGCCAAGAGCTCTAAAAGAAACTTTTTTTTCTAATCTTTAACGATGATATATAGGTCAAGAGCTCAAAAATAAGTTTATTTTTTTTCTATCTTTAACGATGATTTGTAGGTCAAGAGCTTAAAAAAAAACATTTATTTCTAATCTATAACGATGATATATAGGTCAAGAGCTCAAAAATAAACTTATTTTGGGTCCGTCCTAGTATACGATTTTTGGACCTCCGAATACTCCCCTGCTTATTGACGTCTTAAATAATTAGCTAAAGAATGATTATCAAGAACTGCTAGGAGAAACCTTAACACTTGTTTTTTATTCTCTGAGGATTTGTTAATTGCAAAATTCAGAAGCTGAATGCCAACTTACTAAAATTGAAAGCTGCATACATCAACCAAAGAAGTTTTCTTATAATCTCTTTCCAACCAAAGAAGTTTTACTTATAATCTCTTTCCAACCAAAGAAGTTTTACTTATAATCTCTTTCCAACCAAAGAAGAAACTAAAGTTAGTTTATAAATATTGTTTATTAGCTGATTTTTTTAATTTGAATTATTTAGGGCGCCATGAGCCTGATGGGCGAGCCTAATGTTGTTTCTATCAAGGTGAGGTTTTTAAAGGGACTGTTCCATTAATTTCAAGCGTCCCTTCATTTCCAGATTGGCATGTTTTAATCACAATGGTACAATTTAAGCTTGTGTGTTCAAGATTGATGGCCAATTTCTTATTCATTTAACCATAGGTACAACTATAGGTCGTATCTATCTATCTACACTGCTCTGGTAGAGCGTAACCATAGTGTGACTATGGTTCTACCTGTGGTAGAGCGTCTAAGAAATTGGCCATGAGTAAATTATCTGTATTCTTGTTGAAAAAAAAATGCTCTTCACACATCTGCCAACTGGAGGGAATTAAAAAAATACGCCCCTGGATTATGCCCATGCCACTTAATAAAGATATTATTTCGTTAATGCCCGAAAAGAACTTTGCAGCATAGAGTATCTGTTTTAACCAATGTTTGTTCAGGTGATGAGTAACAAATTTACTGGAGAACCAGCTGGATATGGTTTTGTTAACTTTGACAGTGATCAGGGAAATATCTTTTTAAAACAAATAATAAATCTTTTCTTTAAAAAATAGTTATTTCCTTTTTGTTTTTTATTGTTTCCTAATCTAATCTCAGATTATTTACTACCGACGAGGTTATAGTGTATAGAGTGATGATGTACGCTAATCCTTTACTAATTGTACAGGTCATGAACTATACCGAAAGTGTACTGCATGTTTGTTTATTATAAGTTGATTCTGGCCTAACCTATAGTACAGAGCGCTTCAACGCCAAAATAAACCCATAATACTCGAAAAACCTAACATTTTCTGCAAGAAAAAATTTATATAAGCCTTTTTCAATTTTACGAAATGATATATTCTTCTTAATATTTCTTATTAGTCCAAAAAACATAATTTAGACTGATTAACGGTCTAATATGATATGGGACACCCTGTATATCAATATTATTAAACAGTTGTAAGTGTACAGTTCAGCTAACTGAGCACACAGGTAGAGAACTATTCATTGAAAACTTTTTGTCATTAACTTAAACATTTTCCAAATTAAAAATTGAAGATATTAATCTGCAAGCTTGCTTACATTTTATTATTGATATTTGAAAACAGACGGCAATTGTGGCGATGCATCGTCTGGGTGGGAAGATTATTCCTAACAGTAATCCACCAATCAGGTGTCTAAATTATTAAATAGAATATATATGAAGTAAATGTATATTGTCATTTGGAAGATTTTTTGAAAATTCTTTTAATTCGTTTCTTTCACAAAATTTTGACCATTTTTCAAAGTTATAATAATAGAAAACAGCACTAAAAAGGTTTAGTCAACGTCTTCCTCACAGAATTTATATTTTTTACACAAATAATAAAGAAAATTATGAACAAATAAGTTGCTAAATTTGTTTCGAGAAGCTTCCAGTAGTTAACATAATTTAATTTTGCAGGTTTAAGCTAAACCATAATAGTACTCGGCTACAGCAGGGAGAAGTGGATACCAGCATCTGGGTTGGGGACCTCACCCCAGAGGTAATCAACCATTCACTATCAGTGGCGCAACTAGGGGGGGGGGGCAAACAGTGTTTCGCCCCCTTCAAGCATATTTCGCCCCCCCCCCCCCCTCACTTGACTCCAGTATGATAATTATTGTGGAGTGTGGACCATCTTTTATAAAATTTAGTCAAGTTAGAAAAAATACCAAAATCTTTCTAATAGAAATTCTAACCTGTTTCTTGTTTCGAGTTTAAGAATTTCAGTCATTTTTAATTTATAACTCATAAGTATTACAATGACTAAGAAATACATGAAAAGCCACTAGAAGGCAGGTATTTTTTGGCGCTTGTTTAAATAATTTTCTATTGTTATTTATTTTAAAGCTGTTGGAAGTATATTTTTTTTAAACATAAGAACAAGCCATGGATATTATAAGAATCTGATATATCCTGAAAACCTCACTTTTTTGAACAAAATTTTCAGCCCCTCAAAATTTAATTTCCCCCCCCCCCCCCTCACATAAGTGCTAGTTGCTCCACTGTTTACTATCATCTTACCCTATTCAATCATCCACGAGCGTGAATAGGGGAGGTTATTACTAGAAGTAAGTACCCCTCCTAGAATTGATTTAGAAATGATACACTAAAAAGTTCAGGTTTGTTTGTAATAAATTATCAAAAAATAATTTTCTGAACGTTACATAAAAAAAATCAAATAAATTGATGGGATACGACGTACGGAGGCTTTAGGCTTGATTTCAAAATCAAATAATAAAATGTCCTAATTTAATCTATATTTTAGGTCGATGACTATGCCCTATACAGGTTTTTCATCGGTCGATATACATCAGTTCGATGCGCCAAGGTAATCTATATTTTAAAATCTTATCTTTATATAAACTTAGCTTATCTGAGCTGAAAACTTTAGAACAGTGGATATCAAGATTAATGCTTAAACTCCTGGTTTTACTAAACCCAAGATTATTTAAAACGCATTCGATATCCAAGAAAGAAGTTAAAAATTTAACCAATCAACGTGTCATGTTCAGATGTACTCTTTAACTTTTGAAAAACCGGTTTTGATTTCTGGTGTTGATGGTGTCATATCAATTGAACTAAACATCGATTGAACAAACGTAAGTTTTGGATTGATGTTTATTAAGACTGACGTTCAAAATGACAATAATCCTTAAGTATATTTTTTAACAATTTCATATTAACATGATTAAATTTATATTTGTTTAGATGCTCTTAAAGCCGGCGTGTGAACAGCTGACTTTAATTCAATCAGATGTTAGTCCAATCGATATAGCATCATCTCTGTATTTATCAAACGTAACTTTTATACAGTAGAAATATCCAAAAAGAGGATTCTAAGAAGAAAATCAAAAGTGTGTACATTGAATAATCAGATTAAGCGATCGGGATGAAGGATATCTCATTCTAAAGTTTGCAGCTCTGTTTGTTTTTTGTTTGTATGTTCGTATCCAATAAACGTCAAAACGGTTGAATCGATTGGGCCCAAAATCGTTGTTGACCTCACGTGACTCCTGGTTTATGAATGATCAAATTTTCACAAATTTGGCTTTTAACAATTTAAAAAAAATTTAAATCCACGAAATAAAATTATAATCTGCGAAATTTTTGTTATTTGATGATTTAACTGATAAATTGATAATTCACTGATTAATTTATTACTTTTTTGGTATGTTAAATTACTGACGTATTGGTGGAATTTTGGATGCTGGATTGAAATACTTTGATTGATTGATTGATATATATTGATTGATTGATTGATTAGGTTGTTCTGGATGAGACAGGCTTCAGCAAGGGATACGGTTTTGTCAGGTAATGAAAATATATTAAATGTGTTTAAGGCGCATCTTTTGAAACCCATATTTAAAAGTTCTGAAAAAAAAATTTAATAAATTACTGAAGGAGTTCTGATTTTTCAATGTCGTTCTGTTATTAACGTTGCTTATAAGTTGATGTTAAAATGTTTCTTGTTAAAATAAATCTATCTATTATGTCTATCCATCCATATATATACAAGGTTACTCAAAAAGGATGCAACTTCAAAGACGTTTGTACGGAATTTATACTGTCTGTTTCCTTCAAGGAGTATAGAATAGAAGGGAGATATAATTGACGCGGCCCGCTCTACCATATGATTATGCATGCTTTGCTGACGGTACTTTTGTATAAGAAATATTCAGAATAGGTTATTGTATACGCGGTAATTGAACATCAGACAAATATTTCTTATTCAAATGAAGTAACGGCTGTAAAGCATGTGTTATCATATAATAGGGCGGGCCGCGTTATTTGTATCTCCCTTCTATTCCATACTCATTGGTTCCTTATATTCACGACTCCCGGCAACTAAAAACTTTTTTCTTTCTTTGCCAATTTTTATATACGCTATTAGATTACTATATCTAACCTTAGATCGTCACATAGTTTTTGGTCGTCTTTATAGTCTCATCCTTTGTGGGTAACCCTGTACATCTATCTATCAATCTTGTCTATCCAAAATGCCAATATCTAGGTTTGGACTTGAGCATGAGCAGCAACATGCCCTTAGTAATATGACCGGAGAACTAGGACTTGGAAGTAAACCAATAAAGGTATCATGCTCAGAATGTCGGTGACATGCTCAGAATGTTATATGCACAAATGTAAATTTCAACAGTTAACTGGGGTGTATATTTTAAAAATATATTTTTTTCTCAAGTTAGGTTTGTCATATAAAAACACAAATAATTACAGGGGTTTAATTCAGGAAGGAATATAAACAACTTTTTGGGTGAACAGTATGAAGGATAAAAAATAACTTGCCTTTTCATGTGTAATTCTGGTTTTTTTTAATATCTTCAAAAATCATATCCCCTCCTCAGTTCTTAAATCCTCCGGAAATGGGGGGGGGGATATGTAAGCTAATTTTTTTTCACTCTTGAAATTTTTCCCAAAATTATTTTATTTTTCCTTGAAATAATTTTGTCTCGCCAATTCAACAAATAAACCTTAAAATCAGTTCTTAGAATCCTTTTAATTTTCATGCGGATCCGGATCCTGGATCCGCACTGGAAAAAAAATTGTTCCTGATCCGGACCCAGGTCATTTCTTAAAGATTTACTGAATTTTTTTAACAAAAAAATAATTTTCAAATTTTTGGTTTTATTTTTTTGCTTATTTTTAACCTAAAACTTGATGAACCATTCAGAAATGAGGAAACTTAAAATCACTCTTTTTTTTCTAAAATTCAGATTTGGGTTTTAGGAGTAAAAAAGTTTTTGGTTGATATTTTACCCCTTGGATCCGGATCCGTGGATTCGCATGTTTTTGCGGATCTAGATCCAGGAAGCCAAAATCTTGCGGATCCAACGGATCCGAATCCTAAGTCCTGCTCAAAATCATACCTGACACTTGACACACACAAAAATATATTATAAAGAAAAGCAATCACCTTCTCTTTGAAAATTGGTCATTTTCATTTGTGGTTTCTCTGAACTTGAAAATTACGATATTTTCACATTATTGAGTATTCAAAGGTTTTAAGGGTGTCCTTTTGAATCGGGCATTCCTCTCTCTCAATGGTAGGTCGTTTGCTATTACATTTACCAGTCCCTTAACTATTCTCTATCCAGGTATCTATGGCTAACCAGAAAAACCGTGGAGATGGTATGGGAGGTGGAGTATCTCCGCCCTCGGCCACCTGGGGCGGAGTAACTGCCTGGCCTGGTCCCAGCACTTCACCTTGGCCCGGTCAATCCTCCGGTCCTCAACCTCTTACAGGTCATTTAAGAGATAACATACATTCCGCCATTTATTCCTTGTAAAACTAAAATTTCGCAAATCTTTTTTTAACGATAAATCTAAGTATAAGTATAATAAGTAAAATGGACAAATTTTCTAGACAAATTTTTATTCTGATCAATCATAAGTCTTCTACCGAAGTTTTGGTTTAAATTCTTTTAATAAAGTTCTGTTCCGGAAAGGTTAAATACAGCGACAATTCCCTTCAATAGACTTCTTTATTGAATCCGAATATATTTTTATCAATACATCAATTGGGGCGTTATTGTGCTTTCTCTATTTTGGAGAAGATTTTTACAAATTTGGTTTGGTTTAGATTTGTTCCAAGGAGGTGGCTGGACTGGTCTTACAGCAAGTCCCCTGTCAGGTGGACCTCTTAGCGGCGGTCTTAACGGTGGTCCTCTTAGCGGTGGCCCGCTGTCGGGCGGTCCGTTATCTGGCGGACCGCTGAGCGGCGGTATTAGCCTTAACGGTCTGGGAGGCGGTATTAATGGTGGATTGGGTGGGATTAACGGCGGTTTGGGCGGAATCAACGGAGGGTTGGGAGGTGCGTTGAGCGGAGGAATGCCGGGTCCGGGTTCTAGTCCTTCGCCTGCAGCTCCACCTACTGCCCCCTCACCAGGTGGGTCTTACCTTCTTTTTTTTTACAGGAGTCTTGAAAAATCTTCTCCCTTCCCCTCCCTTTGAAAATAAGGGGTTTCGGTTAAAATGACGTAAATACTATATTTAGATAGAAATTACTCATCTCGTTTAATTTGGATTTATTATATAAAAAAAGTTTTAATAATATTTAAATTTTTTAAGATGTATTTCTGTTACTATGATTAGAAAAAGAGTTGCATTTTAAGGGGGAAATAAAATGATTACGAAATATTCTTAATTTTTACTAAACTAGGCTTTGTGCCCTACCTGTTGACCTACCGTTGCTCTTCAAGCTCCCAGTTTTCTTTGTAAATCATATTTCGCGGAGATTTCTCTTTTTAAATTTGCACATTTTAGAATACTAGAAATTCAAGGCGCTTCGCGCCCTTCTTTCTAGCCTTAAATTTATTGTGAACATGTTCTCTTTGTGTACATCGTAAAACAAAACAAAAATAATTCGCGGATTTTCACAAAAAATTTCGCGGATTTTCAAAATTTTCAAAAATTTAATAACGATCGAATTTTGATGGAGACAAATATTTAAAATTTCAATCATTCATAAACCTTCCCTGGGGTCCCTAGATGTCCTACAAAAAATTTGGGCCCGATTGGTTCAGCCGTTTTGACGTTTATTGGATACAAACAGACAGACAGACAAACAAATAAACAAACAAACAGACAAGCCAAATTTATATATAGACAATAAAGAAAGAATATAATAAATTTCGACATTTTTTTCCGACACCATCCACAAACCTTTTTAGGGCTCATGTGAGTTGCTTCAAAAAATGTGGGACCTATCAGTTCAGCCGTTTTGACGTTTACTGGAAACAAGTTTATATATATATAGATTGTACTTTAGGTCCTGACTTCAATCCATACACTTTCCCTCAGTTCTATCAGCAGCAACTAGCACAGTAAGTTTTTTTTAATATTAATATCCGGAGTGGCCCAATTAGCATGGAAATTAAATGACAACTTTTATATCGTCTTGTTCCAAGCGGGATTATTTCTAAAACATTATTTGAAAGTATCACATTAAACACCGAAAAGTACTAGTCTCGAGATTTCCATAAATGTAGTCTACCATTCAAATGTTTAATATCTCAGTCAATTTTAAAGTACAAAGAAGTTATACAACATATTGGAAAGCTTACTAGACTTTCAATCTTTTTTTTGATGCACTTTAAATCAATTATCGAAAATCAAAGACGTATTTAAGTCGTTCCTCAATTCCCATGTTTATTGGGACACCCTGTAGTTTATATTTTAAATAGATTTTTGGCCATTTAAAAAGATTTCTTGACGCCGACAATTACTGAATTTAGTTGTTCATTTTTCAACTCGCTCTGAAAGTAGATAAGTGACAATATCGATCACTTCAAAAATCCGTGTTAAGGTTCTTTAATTGCGGATCCGTATCCTGGATCCAAATAGACTAATCCCAGAGCCCGCGATTTAAAAACTTCGGCTCGAATCGTAATTCCTTAACCCCGAGTTTAAGACCCAATCTTCGACCCAACTCCGAGAACAGCTTTTGTCTTGTGACTGACAGCTGCAAGATCTTCGGCTCGACTTAAGGATATAGGCCTAATGAAAATGAAAACGACCTTGGTTGGTTTTAGTAGAGAAAAGGGCTCAATGTTGACTGTTGAGTCTTGTTCTCATAAGAACCCGGAATGCGACAATTCCTACCATGAAAATCCGCCAAATAGAATATTAAACCGGTTTTTGAACTCAACTTTTTGTTGAGTATCAAAAATGAGGAGAAAACGCGTCAGGGGGGCCCGGGGTGTAACTTCAAAATATACAGGGTGAGTCTAAAAGACTGAGTGGTGTCTGGTGCAAAATTGCAACTCTCCTGTATGTTATTTTTTCCATATTTTTTGGAGTTTCATTTTTTTTGTACTCCCAAAAAAAATCGCTGAATTTTTTCTCTCAAAATCTGAAGTACTATTAAATTCTAAAATTTTGTAAATATTGAATAACAGAATCGCAGAAAATTCGCAAAATTGTTGTAAGAAAATTCTCAATTTTTAGTTCTGGTCTAATTTTTACGGAAAAGGTGCCTTTCGATGGCTTCTCATTTTTTTAGCTGAACAGCGTCTATATATCTTAAGAATATACTAATAAGAAAGGAACTAGAGGATTTAAAAACTGAAAATTGAGAATTTTTTATTATAATTTTTCAAATTGATAGAAATAATATATATACACAGTTTTGCTTTTCTGAACTTTTAATTTTAAGAGAAAAAAAAGTTTCGCGGATTTTACCATTAGAGTACACAAAGAAAATTATTTTATTTATATTTAGGCAACAACAGCAGCAGTATGCAGCAGCTTGGAATGCCTGGCAGGCTCAGCAGCAAAGGCTTTAAACCAGTCAGCAGCTGCTTATTTCAGGTAAAATTATTTTTAATTTCAGCTTGGGGAAAACAAAGATTTGTTCATTCACTTTTTAAATTTTCAATTATCCAGTGCTTCGAGACTAGCTAAACTACTTTTTTATTCATAAATTTTGGCCTCAAAATATAACCCACTTAATTACCCGTAACCCTCCATCTAAAAAAAGAGAAGCATATCCGATTCTCTTTGATAAAACCTTTAGCTAAGTAGCAATAAGTTAGATACCGTCGTCAGTAATTTTTTCGACTTTCTTTTTCATGTGACATAGGTCACTAGAGAAACCACAAAGAAAATCAATCAATTTTCAACTAGTACATAAAGATATCTCATCAATTCTTTGCCAGACATAAGTTACCGTTGTGAATCGGTCATGTCACTTTTTAAGCAGAGTTACTTGAAACAACGTCTACTATCCCTTTAACCTTCCCTAAATTGTTTAGTATACATAGAAGTCATCACTAACCGAACAGCTGTTGTTTGACCGGTCTCCACGTCTCCCTCTAACCAGGGGTCAAGCAAACCTTCCTCACACCAGGAAGTTAAATTTCAAGAAATTTTGAAGATTTAATTAAAAAGTTTTGTACATAATTGTTCCGGATTATTTGGGTGAAAAGTCTGATCATTTTATGATGAGGGTCCGTTGTCCCCCTTTTTTTGTGTTGTAGATAAAGCCTTTTATAGAAGGACTTTTCACCCCCCCCNAGTCAGCCCTGACTGCCAAAGTTAAAGAACAAGGACAATGCCAAAGTCGTGGCGTTGTATCGTAAAAAAAACTATACACAGTAAAAATGCATTATTGTATTGTAAAAAGTTTTTAAAAACTGTTATTTTGTGATATTTCTATAAATTAAAAAATACAGTAATAATCAAGTATGTTCAGTGTAAGGCATTTTTTAGGAAACTTCTAGAATTATGTCGCAACATATCTCAGAAATCTCGTGGGAAATCCGCAAAAATAATATTCTCCCGCCTTAATTGCGTACTTACACATTTGCTCATAAACTTCCAGTTAGGCCGGTTAACTTAGCGATCATATTATTTTTGTGGGTTTCCTCACATCTTGTTAATACATTATTCTTCAAGTTGGGCGGTTGGTCCGTTTTCAAATTTTAATTATCGCCTTTTAACAAAATGGCGCTAGTTTATTTTAACTGACGCAATTTTGAATATGGCGCCCTCTTGAAATTTTAGCACTGGCCCCCGCCCTGTCACGCCTGCTGATATTCGTGTGCTGGTTTGCAACTCTAGGCTGTTAAATAATTTTGTTGATAATTAAATATTCATTATATAGGATTGTTAAATATTATTAAATGTAATATTCGATTATTTAAACTTACGATTTAAATACTTGATAGATATTCATTCTGAGCATATATTGTACTAATATTCAAGCAGTCGGTGTGCACAGAGAACCTTAACAATTAATCTAGTTTCCCCTCATTTAATTCTCTGTAGTTAACACCCAGACTCAATGCAAATACAAAATTTATGTTAAATGTTTTTTTCTAAAATTTAAAAAATAACGTAAAATAAAACACTTTACACAAGGCCTGTGATACGAATGATAAGTGTAAAAACGCCCCGATTTTTGCATTGTATTTGTTCTTTTAATGTAATTTATATAAATGCTTGCTTATGTACGCGCGCGTGTGAGAACGCGCTCAGATATTATTTTGTTAGAGCGCGTCTCACGCCGTGCTTAAACTCTTTTTAACATGGAGAGATTAAACATTGTTTTATGTATTCAAAATTTATTACGAAGGGTGTGATGGGTTTGCCCCAACCCCCCCTTCCTTGGATAATGGTACCGCTTTATCGTCCAGTCAATATAGCTGGTGGGTAATGGTTATATAATATATATATATATCGTATATCAATAAATCATTTTCATTAAATATTATTTTTTTCAGTTTCTATTTATATTTATATCATGTTACTAATAGTAAGTAGTGTTCTCTTGACTTTGCAATATTTAAGCTTCCTGGACAAAATAATAAACACAGCCTGCGAAAAATTAACTTTTCGCTCGAATTACATGAATCCCAGTTTCCCGGAATTTTTTGAGCGCATATTTTTTTCAAGAGTATCAGGATCAATGTTCAAGTGCAATTAATGAAGTTAAGACTGATTTACTGTTAAAAAGTCGAATTTTTTCACAAAAAGCACTATCTCAGATCCGTTCAAAACCAAAAAATGCATGTAATATACATAATTTTAAGATCGTATGCAAAAAATCAGCCTCCTAGGACAACGCTAAGTTATATACACTGTTAAAATTTCCCGGAGAGGAATACGTGTTATGCCCCCCCCCTTTCCTAGATTTAATTTTAACTACAAAAAAGGTATTGCTTAAATCAAAGATTACAAATGAAATTCAACTAAAAAAAATCTCTAAATATTTTCCTTTTCATGTAAAAAAAGTTCAAAATTTTATTAACCACTTTATTAGTCATAATTAGTAAGCACTATTTATGATAATTAATAAATACTTCTCATGCCACTATGTCGAAATTCTAAAAGCAAATCTTTTATTTAAACTTGAATTAAAAGTTTTTAACCCCTCTTGTATTACACAGGCGAATTTGATGTATTGCGCATGCTTATTTCTGCATATCAAAGGCTCGGTCTGGCTAGCAAGTCTGTGAGGCTCGTGTCTGCATAGCGGAGGCTCATGGCGTCAGGGGGTTTCCTTCCTCGGTGTCGCCGTACACGATGTGTTACGTGCTCGTCGTGCATCCGGTTAAATTAGTTATTTTAAAACATTACAAAATAACTAAATGACATTTTTATCACAATACGCTTCTTGTTCAATATAATATACAAGGGGTTAACACAATAAGGATTTCTTCTCAAATTGTGTCTTACTTCCAAATTTTCAAATAATTATTGATCATTTTTAGAGATGTACCAAGGATACCCACAAAGGATGAGACTTTAATGACAACCTGAAACTGTATCAATATGACTGTCCGGTTGGGACTATATAGGGGGAAAATCCGTGAAAATTTGAGATTAAATAAATGCCGACTTTTTAAGTTCAGCGCTAAAATTGTTAACAGGAAAGAGGGCGCTTAGGGTTTTTATCTAACATTAATTCAATTTCCAGTTCCCACCATTTCACGCTATTCAATTAGTGTAATTCAGTGATTGAAGATGAATAGTTTGATACCTAGATATGATGGATTTAGCCGAAATAAGTGCTAATAATTGTTCACTAAATAATTAATATTTATCATATTACTGTAGAAGGAGCGGGGGAAGGCGGCCATGAGCCACCACTATTTCCCCTTCCGTACCACATATTATGATATTAGCTTTTTTCTCTTCCGGCAGCCATGAGCCACCACTATTTCCCCTTCCGTACCACCACATTTGACTCTTCCGGGCAAAACTACTTTTTAAATGGTATATTTAGGGCCTTCAAAGTGTGATTTTAAAAAATCCAGCTAAAATGTACACGTAAAGGGCTACAGAAAAACTTTAAAACACAAGTGAGTTTGAGCGGTAAACCAAAGACCGGGATTTTGCGGCACTTTAAAGTCTGCCCTGTCTTAAAAATTGATGAGACTTTTTACTTGGGTAAATATATATGCGATTGCTTAATCTGAATATCCACTGTGAACACTGTTGATTTCTGCTTAATACGCTCTTATCCCCTCCTATAAGCAGACTGAATCTATTTGATATATTGTAAGGATTTTCGGTCATCTTACAATTTCTTCCTTTTCGGATAACCCTGTATAGTGTAAAATAATATGCTGCATAAATTTAAGCTAATTTATTAAAAATAGCATGGAAGAAAAGGAGAAAATTAATTTTATGATAATCATTCCTCTTAGAGAGTAATCTAACTTTACAGACCACAGAGATATGGGGGGGGGGGAGGCGTATTTAAAGTGACTGTAAACAAAATTTCATGTGACCCTCCATTTGTAAAGTGGCATGTCCGATTTATAACGGTGCCCTTTAAACCTTTATCTGTGTTGCAATGAGAAAGATATTGTTGTTTTTTCTTAAAAAGTATTGAATTCTCATAATTACCTTGCAATTGCATATCTGAAGCATAAATGGGCAATTTTAGGAGAAATGACAGTTAAAAATTATCAACTTTTAGCCAGACAAATAAGGATTTCTCGTTCATCCTTAATCAGACAAAAGTTTAAAGGCTAGGTTTAAAGGGTATAACGCGGTATAAGGATTTATGGGCATCAATACTAGACTACAGAGTCTATATTTATAAATAAACATGAATATATTTACTATGCAATGCAAACTGTAGACTCTACATATATACATATATATTAGACTGTAGACTGCACATGTATATAAACTAGAATGTAGACTGCACATGATACGTATACAAACAAGACTGTATAGACTCTAAATGTATATAAACAAGACTGTAGACTCTACATCTATATATACTACTAGAATGTAGACTCTACATGTATATACACTAGACTGTAGACTGCACATGTATATAAACTAGACTGTAGACTCTACATGTAGATAAACTAGATTGTAGACTCTACATGTATATAAACAAGACTGTAGACTCTACATGTATATAAACTAGAATGTAGACTCTACATGTATATAAACTACACTGTAGACTCTGCATGTATGTATATACACCAGAATGTAGACTCTACATGTATATACACTAGACTGTAGACTCTACATGTATATATTCTAGACTGTAGGCTCTACAGTCTACATGTATATATACTAGAATGTAGACTCTACATGAATATATACTAGAATGTAGACTTTATGCATATTTATGAAAACTAAACAGTGGCAATGTAAACAAAACTGTAGACTCTACCTGTATAAATTATAGATTCTACGTTAATGTAAATTGAAGTGTAGACTCTACGCGTGTATTAAATCTAGAGGCTCTGAGGTTGGCTGTGTGTGATTTGAACTGATGAACAAGGAACCGGTGGATCAAGAATCAAAAACCAGTTTTAACACGCAACTCATAGAAACCGGTTCTAAGATTGAAGTGCCTCACCTCTAAACGTGAGCGGTTTTTACCGTAAAAAAAGCTCTTATCTCCCGAGGTGAGCGGTTTTAAGGGCGAGAAAGTGCTTCAGAACCCCAACTGTATAAAAGAGGGATGATTTAGTTGTTTTAATAAGATCAAAATTGTTTAAATATCTTCTGGCAAGCTAAACACGGTAATTCGAATATTTTCAATTTATCAATTATGATATCAAATATAAATTCCTAGTTAAAAACAAAACAAAGACAACAAAACAATGTAGGTGATTTCGCCCCCCCCCTCCCCCAGTATTTTATTTTTAAAAAAATGAAAATCAAATCAAAACATGCAAATAATGATGTTCATGGACAAATTTTTTTTTTCAGTCGTTTTGATCAAATTTTAGACTTGCAAAAAGCGTTTGACGATATATTTATTTGAACAATCTTAGACTTAACTAACAATTTTTTTTAATATTTTTGTACCGAGCGTATTTTTCAACGATCTAAAACTATGCACCATCTATTGAAATCTTGCCAATTGGTTAAATCTTTTAAAGTTTCAAAACACTTGTTTCCTACGAGATTTTTGCGCCAGAATGCGCATATTTTAGCCAATAATGATACTCATATTCATATTGAAATTCTAGGCTTTCAGGGCTGTTCGCGACCATCTCTTTTTCAATTGTGAACATTGTCTCCTAGTGTACATTGTAAAACAAACAAACAGACAAACAGACAGACATGCAAAGTATATATAGATAGCTACTGAATAATGTATAAATCAATCCAGGGGAAAAGAAACGATGTCTGATAGTTTGGCTCAAGGCAAATAAAACTGCATTCTATTCTCAAAATATTAACTTATTAAAGGGAGTGTTTGCAAATATTGAACAGAGATAAAAGTTAGATAAAACTCATTGAATTATGAGTCTGTCTCCCTAGAGTCATTTTTTTGGAGGATGAACTTAAAATTCATTAATTCATTAACAGTATTCATTAATTAATTAACAGTATTCATTAATTCATGAACAGTATTTATTAATTCATTAACAGTATTCATTAATTCATTTTACAGTATTAATTTATTCATTAGCAGTACTCATTAATTTAATAACAGTACTCATCAATTCATTAGCAGTATTATTAATCCAATAACAGTATTCATTAATTCATTGACAGTATTCATTAACAGTATTTATTAGTTCATTAACAGTATTCATTAATTCATTTTACAGTATTCATTAATTCATTAACAGTATTTATTAATTCATTAACAGTATTCATTAATTCATTTTACAGTATTCATTAATTCATTATCAGTATTATTAATCCATTAACAGTATTTATTAATCCATTCACATGTTTCATTAATCCATTATCTGTATTAATAATCCATTATCCTTATTATTAGTTCATTCAAAGTATTGATTAATCCATTAACAGTATTCATTAATCCATTATCTGTATTATTAATCCATTAACAGTATTCATTAATCCGTTATCTGTATTATTAATCCATTAACAGGATTTATTAATTCAATAATAGTATTTTTACTTCATAAATAGTATTATTACTTCATTGATAGTATTATTAATCCATTAATGGTATTATTAATCCATTAATAGTATTATTAATCCATTAACAGTATTCATTAATCTATTAATAGGATTAATTCATTAACAGTATTCATTAATCCATTAACAGGATTAATTCATTAATAGTATTCATTAATATATTAATAGGATTAATTCATTAACAGTATTCATTAATCCATTAATGGTATTATTAATTCATTAATAGTATTTATTAAATTATTAACGGTATACATGAATCCATTTACAGGATACATTAATCCAGTATCAGTATTCATTAATTCATTATAAGTATTCATTAATCCATTAAACA